GACCCCTGGGTCTCAACTCCCAGACCTAAAACCACTTAGGCACAGACACACTCAGCTTTCAATAGAAGTTTCCTTTTATTTTGAAAGTGAAACAGCAAAATGAAGAGGTCTGTGGGTGAAATACCTTCACGGGAAAGAAAACTGGAGTGTTCGTTCATCCATCAAAAAACCCCAAATAAACTCTGAGTCTGAGCCAGCTGTCCCACCTCCCCCAACAAAGTAAAGAACAGTTAAAGGAGGGAGGAAGAGTACAATAAAAAATCAAGGTGGTGATGGCTGGCAGATATCCAGTAAGATACAATTTACAATTGCTGCAATTACAGAAGGTAGCAGTTAATTTTTTAAAACAGTCATAAGCAGGAGCCCTCCAGCCCTTCCCGTTTTACATTCATAAAAATAAATGTTCCCTCTCCTGAATAAATGATGTCTTAGAACTGCACACCAATCCACTTTGCCTCAGGGGAGGAGGCTCTTTTCATTTACTCTGGTTTCAGGGACCAGGACCAAGATTCTGGAGAAAGGAAAGAATCCGAATGGTGGTAGAGGATGTTTATTCATTAGAACTCATCATCTGCTGAAATTCATTTTGAACGCGACTTTATATAGCAGTGGCTTACATAAAATTTGCACAGAAGTGTTAAAAGTGGTTCCCCAGCCCCCACAGGGGGAAATGGTGAGTCAAGACTGAAGCACCCCTAATACACAGAGCCTTTCTTGGGAAGGGAGGGAGGGCAGTGACTAAAGTCACCAGGCCAGGAGGATGAAGGGGAGAGAAGACCTAACCTACCCATAGGTAGGACTCACTGGCAGGAGTGGGGTGGGGAGTAAGATGAGCCAGGGGCGGGCTGTGAAAGCTGAACCTGTTAGAAGGGCTAGCAGGTTATCTTAAACAAGTGAAGAAAATTACCAAAAAGTGAAACTTATTGATGGGGGAAAAAAAAAAAAGAGAAGAGTTTGGAAAAGTATGCGAAATTAAAACAACCCAGTGGTCACTGAAAATGTCTCCCTCTTTAAAAAAATTTTTTTTGGTTTTTTTTTTAATTTTTTGGAAAGTATTTTTAAGGTAATATTTTTTTTTTCCTTTGGAAAAAGAAATCTTTTTCCCCCCTAAACTAAGCAAGTGGAGTTGCCACTACCTAATTTATCTCTATTGTTTTGCTAAGAGGTAGATAAAACAAAAGTGAAATGGGGCTTCTATGAGGAGGTCCATTAGAGGGTGGGGAGGGGCTGGGGCCGCCCAGTGGAACTCCCCTGACTACAAAGAGGGCCTGAGTGAGTCCAAAGGACTGGGCCTCAGATTCTCTCAGGGCAAAGGATCCCACACCACCTCTGGTCCTTCTAGAGCCAACGGTCCCCTTGAAGACTGAGAAGGGATCCAGCGGAGGTGGAGGATCTCAAAGAAACCCTGTTGAAGAGGTCTCAAGTTTGGCTTCCCCAGGCTTCATGACTTTGGGGCTGAGTGGTGGGTTCCAGCTAAGCCCCAGGTCTCTCCTCCAACCAGGCCCCCTCTAGCAGAAGGGAAGAAATGACTCCTTTCCTCACCACCTGGTCGGACAAAGCTATAGTAGGTGAGAGAGGGGGCAAACTGGAGGCAAAGAGGGTGAAACCTGGGCAAAGAAGGCAGAAAGGGGAACCTAATGGCCAGCCCTCCCTGACCCATATGGGGGTGGGGATCCTGGCAGGCCTGCCTGTTCCCCAAGGACAAACCTTTTGTGGCACAAGCCTCTACTCACTCCTCCTGGCTGGGATTCACACCCTTATGCATGAGTCCCTGCCCTTGGTTCCAATCTTACTGTAAGGATTGAGGTAGTTAATCCATTTATACTCGTAGCATCCATCACTTGTGGTTACTCAAAACACATGCTCCCAAGGAGCTTCCTGCTATTTCCTTTAAGAAAAAAAAATATTCTTTTTTCTTTTGTCTGGTCAGTCCGGATTTAACCATACTAAGGCACCAGTACTGGCGCCATCAGACCGTGCCCCAAAGCAGCGCACAAGTCCAAGGGTCAGGCTTGGGACTCTCACCCTCTACTTCCCCCTTCAGATATGAGGCCTCCTCCCTGTCCCATACCCTACAAAGAAGCCACCTATATCCAAAGGAAAGAAACTGAAGGTTTCAGCTGGTGTTACTCTAAGTAAGTCTGAATACAAGAAAAATGTTCTGCATCTAAATCATCACGTATTGTGAGGGAAATGGCTTTTATGTCCCCTGGCACTGAGGAGGGTTTTTCTTCAATCTTCCTGCAATTACTGTGTCAGGCTGTGCTGTTTTCCTTCTACTGGTGGCCTGCGGTATGAATGGCAAAGCCACTAGATCTCCCCATAAACATTTGAGGGGAGGGGGGAAGGAAGCCCCCCCAACCTGGCCCTGCCCCGCCCCGCCCCATGAGAGGGAGAGGAAGGGGTTGCCTAGAGGCACCAGCTTCTCTTGTGGATCAGGAAGGCTGGAGCAGCCCTCTGGGACTCTGTGAGGTAGTTGTGCAGCACTGCTGGTTCCCAGTTTGGCAGAGGGTACATGGGGGGTGGGAGGAGGGGAAGGCACCCTTGAGAGCTAACTGAGGCCCCTCCTCACTGCCCATCTGCCAGGCCTGAAGGGAACACGCGGCGCCATCTCTGCAGTAGGGGCAGGGGACCAAGCAGTCCCACAAGAGGGAGCTATGTGGAGCCCCAAACTTTCCCTCCTTCCCCAAAGTGCAACCAGGAGCCATCAGACCCTTTTCTCAGCTCCCTAACCCTTGGCAAGACCACTGCCAAGTCCCCCAGGAATCGCAGAAGGGGAGGGGGCCTGCCCTTAACTCACCAGGCTTCCAGGAGCCCTTCCCCGAGACAGCCCAGGTGTGTCAGAAGCCGCCTCTCTCAGCCTCTGTCTGTCTTTGGCACAGAGGAAAATGGACACGTAGAACCAATTGGAGTGTCCCCCTCCAGTGTCCTCTGGGTTTTACATGGGGTCTTTTCTGCCAATAGTGAGGCATAAATAAGAGAATAGCTCCCCAAGTGCCTCCAGAAGCGGAGAGCTCAGGGTAAAGGGGAAAAGATTGGTACAGGCTGGGAGGAGAGGAGGAAAGAGTGGAAAGGTGATACAACTCCCTGTCCTTTAAAAATGGCTCTCTCCTGCCCAGACCCCTCACAGGAGCTGAGTGTCCACAACACAAACTGCAAAAGGCAACCAGACCCAAGAGGGGATTAAAGCCATCGGGTGTAACTGGCAGATGCAGCTTCAAAGTAAGTCAGTGAATCAAACCATTTTGGTTTTCTCTGTATTTCAAACAATTTAAAAATATATCTTAAAGAGATGGTCCTTTCTTAAAAATATATATGCAGCACACACACACACATATATATCTTAGAGCACGGAAGCATTCTTTTAAGTCACTTTTCTCAAATCATCCAAATCTCCCAAGTGCTTTTCACAATAGCTTGTTATCTCACCAAGGATGGGGAAATGGAGGTGCTAAGCAGGAGGGTAAGGTGTTGCTCTAAGACCCTATGGGGCAAAGGAAGACCCCACCAAGGCAGACCCTTCCTCCTGCTGAACCTTAATCACCAAACCGTACTCCTTTTGCTTTCTGGTAGTAGAACGTCCACGATTTTCCTGCTGGGCAAAGATCAGTGATGGTGGAGCCTTGCCTAATCCAAGCAAGTGAAGTTTTCTAGCTCCTTGCCCTACACTTTCTGGTCTCTTCTGTGCTGAATCAGCCAAAGGAAAAGGACTTGGGCTTTAGGTGTGAAGGAAGCAGGTCCCCAAGGAAACTGAACACTACAACAATCACATTTCAGGTACTGTGGGATTTTTTTTTCTTTCTGATGATAGTTTGAACCAGATATCAAAGCTTGCTTGCTGCTGAAAATTCTCTTTTAATCACTAAATGGCCGATGTCTGAACGTTATCTGCTTCATCTTGGGATAAAGCATATAGAGCCAGAGATGGAATGTTGGGAGACCCTTTTTGTGGTTGTGACAGGTTGGGGAGGCTTATTTCTACTGGCCTGATAGGATCCCTAAATGCTTTCCTGTGTCTCCTCTTTTTGGGCCAGTTAGTTCTGGGGGGCTGCAAAGAAACATTGGAGGGAGAAAGTGATGAGACCATAACAAGGCAAGAACCTGTCCCAGTCATGTCCCTATATCCCCTGCCCCTCCTTGCCACCCACCGGCACCCTAAATCAAGAATTCCCTAAGTTTGGGTCCACTTTTAAAAATCAATCAATCTAAAGAAGACAGGGAGACAGGGCAGTTATTTGAGTGTCTGTTTGCCCCTTGGCCTATGGATATAGACTAAGAAGAATAGCAAGATGGGATGGAAGTGAAACATGGTAATAAAAAACAAAAAGCATTGCTATGACAAACCAGGTGGACCTCTCTAAGGGTGAGAGGGTGGCCTTGTCTTTCTTCCATGAACAGAATCTTGGCTCCCATATTTTTAGACGGAGAAATATAGATTTTTTTTAAAAGGGGTATATTTCCTAGTTATTTCTCTCCTCGATAAAACGGAGGCAATATTTTAAAATATCTCAATAGCACCACTGGTGGGAAAAACCAGCAGGGATACTGTTTAACTAAAGGAGAAAAGAGGGGAGTCCAAGGGCCAGCTGGTTGTTGAATGTTGTTGTTCTGCCAGGGAGGGCCCCCAGCACCACTAGGCCTTTTGATCATATCCCATAGGATATTCTAGTAGGGGCCAGCAGCTTAGGGCTCTAGAGATCAGAGCCAGGGGAGGTTCTGGGCTCTACCCCTGTGGGGTCTCTGAGACCTAGGCCTTCCCTCTCAGCTCCAGCCTCCTCCCAAGGGGCCAGTCCCCACTGCCTTTCCCACCAGGGCTGTTCTCCAGAGAGATTTCCTAAAGGGTTACTGGCTCATGTTGTAAGAAATTATGAAACATAACTTTCTCATTTTTTTCTTTTCATTAAAAAAATAAAATATTCAAGACTATCAGCTTCTCTTTTGCTTTGCTTTTTCTTTTTTATATAAAATATCAGCAAGCCGCAAAAAGAAAAAAAAAAAGTCAAAAAAAATTTTTTTTCCAAAAAATGGGGTTGGGGGAACAAAAAGGAAAATAATTGCTGAGGTAACTTCATACCTTGAGGTAGTTTACTTCGCACACAGCATTGCCTGACTCCGCCCACATGTCGTGGTTGTCTTGTTGTTGTTGTTGTTATAATGTTGGAAGGAGGGGAACTCCACACATGGGCTTTTCCATGTATAGAGAGAAGCCTTCCTTCCCAGCACACTTGCTAGTATTGTCCAGGGAAGCTAAAGTGCATTACCTGGCTAATATGCATTGTCAGTCAGTATATCAGGAGGGGAGGCCTTACTTCATTTAACTGATGGCTGCTGTCCTCCACAAGGGCTAAACTTCCACCAGATCTTATTGAGCCTGGTTAATTACCGACTTAAGTTTATTTACCCCTTTGTAGATAATGCTGCTGCTGTTCTAAATTTTGTTTTTAGACATATTTTGTATCATGCCAATAAATGAATCATGGAGGCAGAAGCCATCAGTTAAATATTTCTCTAAAATATAAAAACAGAAGCAAGTACTCTCCAATGTACTGAATTTGCCAGATGATGGACTTTAGCTTTAAGGGGAGCTCAGGGTTGGGTTCTAAGTCCCACCACCACCAAGGAAACAGTGCCGCAGCTGAGTGCCCGACAAGCCCTGCCTCTGGGAACCAGCCCTTGTAGGAGCAAATGGGCTGGGATGAGGGCACCATGGCAGCCATTGGGGCCACTCAAGTCCTCCATGGAACTGAGACTTTATCAAGGGGAGTCGGCATCCCCTTCCCAGTGCTCATATCCAATCATTAAAATAGACTTTTAAAAAATACAAAATTCGCCTGAGAATGATGGGAATCAGGGACAGTGGTCAGCCCCTACCCTGTGAGCAATCAACACCACCTACATGCACCTGGACATGGCATGGACCCTACATGGGCAGAGATGTGAATGTGGTGGGGAAGCCCCAGCAGAGTGGGGGAATTTCACTTGTGCCAATTTTTCAAGCCAGTGATCCGAACTAATCAGCCACCAGGGCACTCCTTTTAAACGTGGATTATAATATATTTTAAATATCATTTCTTCCCCTTCTTTATTCTTTACTGTACCTCCTGATAGGTTAGAGAATGGTTGGAATTAAACAACAGATACAGATGGGTCTTCTCCCTTGAGTCAATATTTTAAGCAAAACAATGCATTAGTTCCCATTTCTTTCTGGTAACAGTAAAGATAAAACAATGTAGGAAGAGGTGGTGTCAGCACATGAGAATGGAGGTATTTTAATTAGTTAATCAAATAGAGGAAAAAAGGCTGGGAAGATTTTAGGGTCGAAAAAGAAACAATCCTTTGAGGCTGATAAAAACATTCTTCTATATCTGTTAAAAACCTGAAGGAAATCTTATTTCTCTTCCCACTAGAGTCTCACCCTATTTATTGGTGGGGCCTGGGGAACCTCCTTGAACAATCCACGTTTAAAAAGCACCCTGAGCTAGAATTTCAGTGGTGACACCCTGGAGGGGTGGGCAGTGTTGGGCCAATTGGTTGGGTGTTTGGGATGCAGAGATCAGGGTTCCTCACTGGAACAGCTTTCTCAAACAAGTGGGCAAACCTGATCTACAGCCCAGCCCTGGTGTCCTAGATTCCCACTCATTCTCAGGCCTGCCGAAGAGAGCACACTCTCTGTTTCTGCCCGTTGTCCTGGACATGATGGGATGGAATGGGGCAGGTCACTTCCTCCGTGCCTGGGCCTGGTTACTCTGTCCCTTCTGGTGCTGCTGCTTCACCTGGGCTAGGATGTCTCGGATCTTTCGCTGAGCCATCTGCAGCAAAACAGGTAAGAGGGAGAATGTGAGGACTGCTAAGGAGACAGCCTTCCGCGAGGAGAGGGCGTGGGAATCCAGGCACTGGGAACAACAGACCAGTTCACATGGGACTGAGAAGAAAGGGGAAAAGTGAGGGTGAAAACAACCTTAAGTTTCTTTGCCTCCAGCAGAGCTGGCGTATTCACTGGATAATAAGGCTGAGGGTTAGGGGCCAGGGTGGCAGAGGTTAGAGGGACAGTAGCATAAAATGTAACCAATGTTACTAAACACAAAACAGAACACCTCAAGTTTCTATACTATAGAATATTACACCTTGTACATGGCCATAAATGAGGAGAGGTCATTGTATATCCACTATACGCAGTCCTCAAGTTACAAACATCGGCCTTGGCTGAAAATGATGGCTCACACCTGTAATCCTGACACTCTGGTAGGCCAAAGTAGGGGGATTGCTTAAGCTCAGGAGTTTGAGGTCAGCCTGAGCAAGAGTGAGACCCCATGTCTATTAAAATAAGAGAAAAACAAGCCAGGCATTGTGGTGGGCACCTGTACTCCCAGCTACTTAGGAGACTGAGACAGGAGTCTCAGTGAGCTATGACACCACTGCACCTACCCAGAGTGACAGAGTCCCTGTCTCAAAAAACAAAACAAA